AAAGGACAGAAATAGGTTTAAGATATAGACAACTATACTGGTTGATCGGACGTGGCTCCAATCTTGCTATACAAAATACAATATTATTATGTAAACAAGTCATAAAGCCTATGTGGACATATGGTATTCACATAACCGAAACAAGGTCAGAAGATTAAAAAGAACAAAGCCATATGAACTTGTGTAGTTAAAAATGAATAGTGAAATGTTAATCTTATTGTACCAATGGGTTTATAAGAATGTCAACATTTATTTATTCTATAATTCACTAATTTCTTTGGTCCGCTTGACCAATTAATATATTACAATTAATTAACGTTTTTAGTTGAGATAAAAAAGTCAATGGCACGAGCGGGATTCGAACCCACGATCTTCGGCTAGATACGCCGCTGCTCTACCACTTGAGCTATCGCGACCTCGATCCACTCGGACACCAACTCCCCATCTCAACCCCATCTATGTTATTCTATAATATTATTGTAAAATTAATGGTACGTCTAATAAGACCAGTTTTAATAAATAAATTTAATAATAAAAAAAAAATTTCATTCGACCTTGATGTAGCTGGGTTGTAGTGAGTTTAAGCAAGACGGTTTAACGAAATCTTTTGCATATTTTTATCCTAACAAAGGTGTCCACGTATAAAATGCTTTGAGCTGTCAGAACAGACCTAAAAACTTACTCTCTGTTGTCTGATTTTTTAAATCTCTTTTGTTCAGAGCAACTTGTTTATGGGCAAACACATTTGATCAGGATGATCAAGGTGTTTTATATGCTCCGTCAACGAAGTAGCGACTTTGAACAAGATTCAGTAGACAAGGTTCTAGGTTTTCTAATTTCATGTACAATTTTACATTCTTTCAAGACCAGACATCTTGCCATTCCCTATTTTTATGATCTCTTTACCTTCAAATCCTCAGTACACTCTTGTCACTTATTCCCAACCTTCTGACCTCTATCCTCCTAATCATAAAACTAATGCATTCAAATGTTCCTTCCTCATTCTATGCCTATTGCCTCCAACTTATGGAATCCCCTTCCTCAATTTCTCATCCAAGCCCCATCTCTTTCCATTTTTAAATCCCGTTTCTTTGATTACATCTTTATTATTCTTACAACTTGGCACAAAATATTTTTGATTGTCCCTTTAATTTAATTTCCATAGAAGAACATTTTTACATTATATTCATAATTTTGTAAATTTACATCTTTTTATGGCCTTATCAGGCTTTAATCTCTGTATGAAGCTTTGGTTGAACAGTGAAAATACCGCCCATCTGGAACATGATCCAGGTACCAAGAACCTACATTGTTTTCTAATTTTACAATTAAGAATTATTTTTATATAGAGAAAACAAAATTCTCTTAAAAATCAGGATGTAAATTATTAAAACAAGTGTCAAACCCGAAATTATAAATGTTTAAACCAACAGTGAGTAAAATATGTGGAGCATAAACTTAGCATTCGCCGTCCATTCTTCTCCCGCGAGACCTAGCGGAAAGAATTTCCGCATTTTGAAAGCATTTTCCATTTTATACAATAAACAAAAAGATTAAAACAAAACAAAATCTATGATTCAACTGGATTTTGCCTTATTAATAATACATTGCGGACAGGAATAGACTTAATTCATGTAAAACCGCTTAGATTTCGTGAAATTTTATCACGTAAAATTCCCATTCAATTTTTCCGTCTCTCCGATTGATTATCGCTTACCAACAAGGGCCAGGTGCTTAGAGGTTTTTTTTATTCCAGTGCTTAACAGACCGTGGACACGAAATGGCCTGAGGTTGAAAACGACGCGATGACACCTGCCTCTTCTGCAACACTGCAGTACTGAGATAATTGTAACGACTTAATTGAACTATTATCTCAAGCCCAGGCTAACTTTGGATCGATTATTTTAATAGTTTTGTTTATTTAGAAGAAAAACTGCACTAAGATCCTTTCGAAGAAGATTTTTCTGGGTTTATAAAGTCCATCAAAGACGGCGTTCTTCAAGGACGTCTCTTAGGACTTATCTTTTATTTGATAAACACTAGTTCAAATTTTAACCTTTATCACCTATTGTTTCCCTATTGAATGCATCTAACCTATCCTAGTTTTAAACATTCATGTGATTATGAGAACTAAAATTTAAAATTTCTATACCCTTTTTAGTCAATTGATCAAACTTCGCTAAAAGCATCCTCGTATCCATTAAAATCTATAGAAAAAGAGATGGCACGCTATTTTTGTTTGTGTTTTATCAAAAAATGTCCTAGAAAAGCGTATAGATATATAAAAAAACATTTAAGCTCACCAAAAGTTAAACAATTCAGACGACATAAGAGAGACAAGACGACAAACAGATCTTTACAAATTATTTATAAATAAACTAAATTTCGCTAAGTAGCATCCTCATATCTTTAAAAATCCCTAAAAAAAGATGGTACGCTATTTTTGTTTGTGTTTTATCAAAAAAATGCCCTAGAAAAGCGTATAGAAATATAAATAAACATTTAAACTCAACTAAAGTTAAAGAATTAAAGGACTAGGAGATACAAGACGACAAACAGATCTTTACAAATTATTTATAAATAAATTAAATTTCGCTAACTAGCATCCTCATATCTTTAAAAACCCTTAAAAAAAAGATGATACGTTATTTTTGTTTGTGTTATATCAAATAATGTCCTAGAAAAGCGTATAGATATATAAATAAACATTTAAGCTCAACTAAAGTTAAAGAATTAAATACCATAGGAGATACAAGAAGAAACATGCATCTTTACAAATTATTATAAATAAACTATATATCGCTAAGTAGCATCATCATATCCTTTAAACTCTTTAGAAAAAAGAAGGCACTCTATTTTTGTTTGTATTTTACCAAAAAATTATCCTAGAAAAGCGTATAGATATATAAAAAAACATATAAGCTCACCAAAAGTTAAATAATTCAGAGGACATAAGAGAGACAAGCCGACAAACAGATCTTTACAAATTATTTATAAATAAACTAAATTTCGTTAAGTAGCATGATCATATTCTTTAAAATCTTTAGAAAAAATAAGGCACTTTATTTTTGTTTGTATTTTACCAAAAAATTATCCTAGAAAAGCGTATAGATATATAAAAAACATTTAAGCTCACCTAAAGTTTAATCATTCAGAGGACATAAGAGAGACAAGACGACAAACAGATCTTTACAAATTATTTATAAATAAACTAAGCTTCGCTAAGTAGCATCCTCATATCTTTAAAAATCCATTAAAAAAGATGGTACGCTATTTTTCTTTGTATTTTACCAACAAAATTATCCTAGAAAAGTGTGTAGATATATAAAAAAACATTTAAGCTCACTAAAGTCAAAGAATTGAAGGACACAGGAGGTACAAGATAACCAAAGAATATTTACAAATTATTATAAATAAACTAAATTTCGCTAAGTAGCACCATCATATCCTTTAAAATCTTTAGAAAAAAGATGGGACTATTTTTGTTTGTACTTTACCAAAAACTATCCTACAAAATTATATTTATATAAACAACATTTAAACTCAACTAAAGTTAAAGAATTAAGAGGACATAAAAGAGACAAGATGACAAACAGACCTTTACGAATTATTTATAAATAAACTAAATTTCGCTAAGTAGCATCCTCATATCCTTTAAAAACTCAAGAAAAAAGATGGCACACTATTTTTGTTTCTGTTGTACAAAACAATATCCATGAAAAACATACAGATATATAAAAAAAAATTTAAACTCACCTAAAGTTAACGAATTTAATAGCATAGGAGATACAAGAAGACGCATGAATCTTTACAAATTATGTGTAAACAAACAAATTATTTATAAATAAACTAAGCTTCGCTAAGTAGCATCCTCATATCCTTTATAATCTCTAGAAAAAAGACGGCATTCCATTTTTGTTTGTGTTTTATCAAAAAATAACCTAGAAAAGTGTATAGATATAAAGAAAACTTTTAAGCTCACCTAAAGTTAAAGAATTGAAGGACATAGGAGAAACAAGACGACAAACAGATCTTAACAAATTATTTATAAATAAACTAAGTTTCGCTAAGTAGCATCCTCATATCCTTTAAAAACTCAATAAAATATTTGGTCCACTATTTTTCTTTGTATTTTACCAAAAAATATCCTACAAAAGTATATTTATATAAACAACATTTAAGCTCAACTACATTAAGAAGGAAATAAAATATACAAAAGGATTGTTCAAAATTATTGAATTATTAAAATATATTATAACGAAACTAACTTTCGTTACAGTTTTACTATTGTAAATTAAAAAAAGTAAATATCTTATTGAAATAAATTTCTTGGTTGTATACCTGGGCTGTTTTACTTTTCCTACGGTAATCATAAACTTAGTTCACGACTTATGAATTAATTTCACACTATCGTTAATGTATAAAAAAATAAACTGTTCATACAAAATGTTTACTTTTTAATATTTATACTTAAACTGCGTGAAAGTGACTCTAATTTCTAACAGTGCATATCGGTATTTTCCCGGGGTACTTTCGTTTTCCCACGTCGGCATTAATTATGTTCGGGAAAGGGACAATGGGCCGAGTTGAGTGCAATTTTTCTGTTTTCACTTTCGTCCTTTAATTATTTTAATCGGGCATTGTCCGATTTTAGGTAAATAAAAATCAATTTCATTTTCTTCACCTCTCGTCCCATTTATTATACAATTCGAGAAGAGGAAAGTTGGAAAAAAAAAATAGAAGCGGATGAACTTTCCTAGAGCTTTTACATGGTTTTGTGGTTAAATCGATTCACGGTTTAAAATATGAACAGTTTCAGTTCTTACATTAACTTGTTTTTAAATTTATTTTCTCCAATTAAAAATGTTTCCCTTAAGTACATTATATATAGATTTATTTAAATTTTCAGCGAATATGAAAGCTAAGAAATCTGTCACCTTTCATCGAACTGTTTTTTAACTTAAGAAATGTGTAATTTTTCGTTGTATTTTATGTTGCAGGAGTTGTGATCAGCATGACCATCAGTGACCCTTCAAGGTTAGTCCTTTTACCGTATTAACTGTCCGTTCGATGTCTGCAAACGGAACGCATCACGTTCTATTTGGCAGCTATCTTTTGTTTATGGGTCCCCCCGGTCTTGTGGTTTTTCACTCGGACAAAGTCGTCCTTTATCATCCTTCGCCGTATTCTTACCACCAAGGTGGACACATAATATCAATTACATATATATATATATTTTTTTTTTTAATTTTGTCCCAAAGGATACTTCCCAACTGGCTAATTTATTCAGTACAAATTTTATTTTCATAAAACACTATGTATCGAAACACAAATTAGCGATTTGTTTATTTAATGCAAATAACATGGAATCATGCTAGCACAATTGAAATACATTTACAAAACGTTTTAATAAGGTCAATCAATACGTTTCATCAGAACCAATTACCTTTAGTTGACCGGTTTAAATAATTAGATCACAATGAGATCAATTTTCGGTGCAGTATTGCGATAACATATTTGATTTATGCAAAAATAAAAAAAAGAATCTGAGATGTATATTGTAATTTTTTGTCTTTAATAAAGTATAGCGTGCTTTTCAAGGTATCCACAGTAGGTCTTTGTTTTTCACCAATGACTTTCCTATAGGTAGATGCCACAGCCTTTTCGGTCAATTAAAAATTTCCGGTGCTAAATTGTAAGGACAACAGGTAAACCAAAAAACTTAAAGGTTGAAAGAAAATATGTTCTTATGATAGAGTGAGGTTGAAAATTCCATAGGTCGGAGGCAGGGATGAGGAAGGAACGACTGAAGGTTTAAGGGGTCAAAAAGGCGTAAGCAGTTTTGACTACAGGATTTGAAGGAACATTTATTTTTTGGAAGAAGATTGGGAAGATATCATTGGAGAGAAGAAGGAAGTATTTCCGCAGTAGGAAGGTATACTTCGACGTATATATAGATCCGTTGTGTGGTACGTAAAGTAAAACATACAAAACATTAGACGTAGCTTTCTTTCAAGTTCCCCAGTGAGTTCCTTATGCAGAATACTGTTATCGAATTAGAAGAGAGTAAGGAAAGCTTTCCTTTACCAGTACTAAAGGAGGTGATTGGCACGATTGAAGAAGGGTGAAAAGCCGCGTCTGGAAATTTTGAAGATAAAGGGCTTCTTGTTCTAATCGAGAAAAATCCAATTCTTGTCGGTGGGGAAGGAATAGGGTGAGTGTTAATTGTAAATAGTAAAAGAGGGAAACGGAATTGCTTCAGCCTTTAGCATCTTGGGATTGTCTGGTGCATATGCCGGTTAATTAATGATTAATGATCCGTAGGTTATTTTGGGCTTTTAGGATATTTTTATTGCCGTGTTTAGCTAATGGGCAATTTTCGGTTTTAATCTCCAAGTTATCACAGGGTAGTGTGCTCGGACCACTACACATCAGACATCCCATCCACATCTACTCTCCTTGCATCCTTCGCCGACTACTCAGCCGTCCTTTCGTCCAATCCCGATGCTGACAAAGCTCGGAGGAGCTTTAATATCACGTTCAACAGAATGGAGCAAAATATGGGGAATAAAAGTGAATGAAAACAAGTGCACCCGTTTTATATTTACCCTCCGAAGCAAAACTCCTCACACAATACACCTCAACAACATCCCTATTCCCAAAGCTGCATACGATATCTTGACTCACGACTGAATGTGGAAACAACAAATCCAAGTAAAAAGAAACTGAATAGACGATTCGGACTACTGTATAAACTACTCGGACGCAAATCTAATTTATCGACAAAAACAAACTAACACTGTACAGAACACTACTGAAACCGATTTGGACATACGAACTAGAAGTGCGGGGTACCGCTAACCCTACTAACATCAACGAATTCATCCTTCCAATCCAAATCCTTAGAATTACAGTTAACGCTCCTTACTATGTCTACAACGCCACCCTCCACAATGACCTCGAAATACCCTTTGTAAATAAATTAATCCCTTCCAAATTCACCCAGATCCACGACAAACTCTCCACTCACCCCAACCCTCTAGCCCAATCCATGTCCAGCATAATCCATCCCTACAATCCTGTCCGCCGATTAAAGCAGAGATGACCTTGGGACCTACTCCTCCAGGAGTAACCTTGCACAAACTGGGAAACCAACAATGGTGGGCGACTCCCCTCAAGACGATACAGTATATAATGTAAATATGTAAATAACTTCAAATTACAAGATGTATTAACACAGCTAGTAATAAAAAAAAAATCTCCAAGATTTACCTAGGGTTCTTCTTGTGGTCATTAGCGATATTTTACTTTTTGTTATGGCATGCTACATGTGAAGTTTCCTGGTTTCAACATAACAAAAGAATATTCCTAGGTATTTAAACTCGTTTTTTAACTGCAGCATTTCATCATAAAACGTAGGTCTGGTATTTCTTAGTGAAAGCAATTAGGGTATGTTTTGAGGGGTTTGATTTAAGTCCCCGTTGTGAACACCATTGTTGCACCATGTTTAGTGCTCTGCAAATGAGCTCTTTTTAACGTTGAGTCGAATTTTCCCCTGACTAGTATGACAATATCATCTACTAGCAAAGTGAACGAAGATATCACTTCTAAGTGACAAAGCCGTACATGTTCTCAAATGCACCGAATCTGTTCTGGTGTTCGTGATAGGTATGTCACACGGCGATGTACCCGTCGTCAGACGTGTCGGAGCGATGCGAGAAAAATCACGGCGAACGTGACACCGCTACGTCTAAACGGCACTGACACTTCCGGACGATGGCAACGGTCGCAATTATTACCCTGTCACAATCCTTATCCCTTCATATTTTTTCCTCTTCCTTTCCTTTTTCAACAAGTCCTTTTTCTTCCGGGCAATCCGATTTGAAGGATCGACTCGTGTTTATCACCGGATTTTGAACTCTGGAGCTTCCTCTTCTCACGTTTTCAACGTCAGTCCAATCAATCATCTCAGAAAAGACGGTGGAAACAACTTTAAAAAATCTCATCCTTGCTGTAACTTTTTTGTTGAAAAGCTTATAAAATTAAAGTAAATAATTGTGTTATTTATTAGAATAGGTACATGGTAGTAGACCAAAAGACCAATCAACCGTGTCATAAACCGCCGACCTACTTTTGTTACAAAGCATTTCTTAGATAATCAACCAAAATACGTTCAAACTTAATAATCAATCGGCCAGAAACTACTCATACAGAACGGAAAAAAACTTCAGACCATCAGTCCCAAGTTTTTATCTAGCGCACTATGTAATTGAAATTCTTCCTTCTGCACAATTAGAAAACCTAAAACTATTTCGATTTGAATAAATTTCACCCAATTTCACGTTTTTTTTTCTTTGAGGAATGGTAAATTGAAACTGAGCAACTTCAACTGGAAAGTTTCACCGGTTTGAAAAAATACGCTATTAGGCCCACGGAACGAAAACGTAGATGTAGCGGAAACGTAATGGGCTTAAATCCTAGCCTCCGAGTCATTACAGAGGTGATTAATGTCACCGTGGTCAGTTCCTTCGAATTAATTTAAAAAGACAAGGGTAATTGTTTTTCCCTAGGTAGTCCCTACTTTCATTTCCAATTGCTCTCGTTGACTTAAAACTTTATCACGTATTAATCTATAGTTCTATGATTGTCTCAATTTTCTATGTCGAACGTGCATGATAAATTATTCAACCCTTGGGGTATGCAATGTCAGATCGAATCGTAGAACGAAAGCAGTTGTTTGTTTATTAGATCGGTCCACTTCTTTGTAATGATAGATAGAGAAATGCTCATCAAAAATCATTATTGAGTTGCCACTTCTTTAACGGCGTCGTGATAGCCATGGGGTCGAAGATTTGATCTATCGATTAGCTCCATTTTCTACGATTCCAAGCGCATCCAGATAAAAAAAAATTAAAATTTCAACACGGATCAAAATAAATTAACTTGTTCTAGTTTATCAGAGTCAATAGTACCGATTTATGAATTTGGGTCAAGAGACGAAGGGAAAATGGATTTTCAAAAATGAATGAACTTCTCGTAGCCCAATTTCACGGTGACCAGCTTTTATTTTTTGTATTATTGATCTGGAAAAAACGTTACAGAAACAATTTGACAATGAAATCATTGTTATTATTCATCATCATCATCATCTTCGACCGAACCAAAATTTTATAAAACGCCATTTTGCATAATTACACTTTCACTACGTCATTTTATAACCCCCACAATTTGCACAAAACACAATTGATTCTTTGAATACTTACAGTGTAAAAATAAAAGAGGTCCAATCTAAAATTAAATAGGTAGTCGCAAAATCATTCATTGATTCTAACTTATTTTGTATAAGTGATAGTTTTACCCTCCATTTTTATTTTTTATTATAACATTTTTGTGAATTTTGAAGGTGATATGTCCAGATTATGTTAGGGGTATAAAAAGGGGGAACGGGTTGATTATCCTGATGATTAAATCCATTATATTTCCTGATTCAATTACCAAATAACTTCTTTCAATTAATTAATTTTTATGTAAGGTTTTGGTTGAAATGAAAAAGTCAGTGTCACGAGCGGGATTCGAACCCGCGACCCTTTGCTAAATACGCCGCTGCTCTATCACTTGAGCTATCGTGACCTCGATGACTCGGATCGTGACTCGGACACCAACTTCCCATCTCAACCCACCATTCGAATTTTCCCTTCTTTTTGCCTATTTTCAAAGGGAAAATTCGAAAGGAAGGATGAGATGGGAAGTTGGTGTCCGAGTGGATCGAAGTCACCATAGCTCAAGTGGTAGAGCAGCGGCGTATTTAGCCGAGGGTCATGGGTTCGAATCCCGCTCGTGTCACTGACATTTTTATTTCAAATAATACCTTACATAATTCTGATGATTATTGTTTATGAATATTGAAAATTTCCGAACAATCCTTTAATATTCCTCACTATGCTGCTACCGTCTCCAGCTACTGTCCAATTCATTACATTTTGAAATATTTACAGATTATGTTAGGATTATAAGCATGGAGAGGCGAATTGGTTATT